AGAATCTATATTTCTTAGGAGAAAATACTAGGGAACAATTTAGTACATTCATGAAGCTTATTCTCTCAGTCAACAGAAGAAAAACAAAATATGGCTTAACAATCCACAAGTTAGACGTAATAAATCATAAGCACATGCTACCTGTTATCACTTTCCTAGGTGACATCCTTTCATACAAAGGATAGCCACATAATTTATAAGTTTTGAATGTTATTGATCCATTTTTTTAAATACTGCTTTTTATACAGTAATGCTTTATCTAGGTATACAGGTTATCTCTCTTAACTAGTTATCTAAATTTAGTTTTTAAATGTTGTCTCCATAAGCTTAATTTTGATTTTATTTTCTATAGCAAGCTTTACCTCCCTGGCTTCACATAAAAATCAGACTAAAGCCTAAGATTACAAGAAATTAGATTTATTTCATATTAAGTGAGATAAAGAAAATGACCCTTTTTTTCATAGAATATTGAAAGTTAAATAAGACATGATTCTTATCCTCAAGGAGCTTATACTTTACTGAAGTGTGAAAAGTGCTATGAGGGAGTTAAACTTCTAGATGTTTGTAGGTTGGAAGGATGGGTGGGAGGTGCTGGATAATGCAGAGTGCCTGTGTATATCATGCTATACATAATTTCTTCCTAAACGTAATTACTGTATTCCATTTTGAAAACATTTTTATTATGCTGCGTAAGTTTTCAGAAGCATTTGAAGTATCTATCATATTGTGTTTCATAAGCCTCTCCAACTTCATCCTTTCCACTGCCTATGACTCACTCATACAGAATGACCTGCAGGTCTCTGAACCTGTCACTCATTTTCATGCTTTTGAGTCTTTGCCCTCAGTGACTCTGAACAGAGTGCTTCTCCCCTCAACTATCTCAGCCAATCCCTTCCATCACCACCACTCCACATACACAGGCACACTGCATTATCCAGCATCTCCCCCCATCCTTCCAAACAACCTATAAGCTCCTTGAGGATAAGAACCATGTTTTACTTAATTTCCAATATTATGAATAAAATGTTTATTAAATAGCTACTATGGGATCTAACTTGTTCTGGAAGTGTCTAGATGACTCCCCTCAGGTTGTTTGAGCTGAAGGAGTTAAGAGAATCTAAGTGTATTAATTGGGTGCAACACGAAAACACATCCAATAGGAATAAATTATTCATTCATAGATACATAGATAGAGTCCCAATGTCTGTAGCTGACAAGCTGGAGATATGGGAGAGCCAACTATGTAAGTTCCAGTCCATGTCCAAGTCCAAAAGCAGAAGAAGACAGATGCCTCAGCTCAAAAACAATCAGGTAGAGAGAGTAAGTTCTCCCTACTCAGTCTTTTGTTGTATCCAAACCTTCACCTGATGGATGAGGCCCACCTTCATGGAGGAGGGTCATCCCCTGTTCTCAATCTTGATTCAAATGCTAATCTCATCCAGAAACACCCTCACGGACATGCCCAGAATCATGTTTGACCAAATACCTAGGCACCCCAGGGCCTGGCCAAGCTGACATAAAAAGTTAGCCATCATACTAGGCAAAAAGATAGGAAACAGCATTTGGTGGAAAAAATAATCTACCTAAAGGCCTCAAGAAAAGAAGAAGAATTTAAGGGCACGATCAGAGGCCAGTGTGGTTGGAGTCAGAGTGAGAGGCGGAACAACCACAGAGGAGGCTGAACAAGGACAAAGGCAGGTCTAGCAGGAGGCTTGAGGCCTAGAGTAAGACACAGGAGCAGGGGTGACATGTTGACATGTATTTCGGGCCTTAGCATGGTTCCTGAGAAATAATGTCTCAATAAATGTTTGCAGAGAATTAATAACCCATGAACAAACACAAAATCGACCTTGAGTTCAAAGCCATACAAGACTGAATTATTATCTCAGTTTGAGAAAAATCAATTCCCAAAAACAAATAATATAGACACATACTCATACACCCATTCAGCAAATATTTGTAAAGCCACCACTTAGACAAGTTATCATAAAGTATGGCAGAAAGCTATCAGAATCTCATCAACTGTGACAGACATTCTTCTGAAATCCAGCAAAGATTCTCATTTTATTTCACTCTTTTTTTCCTGTTAAATTCAAGCAAGCAGAAATAGTTTTGTTAAGAAAATGGTATTATATACTACAATACCATTTTTCGCAAGACAATTTTGCCACCCATTACTCTGTTTGTATACATGATGTCCATCAACTATTAATACAAGTTATTTCTGGATGGTGAAAATTTTTAGTGATTTGTTACCTTTCATCTTTGTATTGTTCTGTTTTGTCTGATTTTTTTAAATAAGAGCTCATACAATTTTTTAAAACGAGCTCATATTTTTAAACTACTGCAGAAAAGATATTGGTTTTGATCATATCTAATTTAGTCATATAAATCTATGCCTCTGCCAGAACACACAAATTTAAGCAAAATTTTCAATCCAGACAGGTTCACTGCCGAGCACAATTTCCCAGAGTCCAGCAAAGCAGTTGAGCTAGTCCTTCTCAGAAATTTCGCCCATCCCTTCAAAGCAGAGACCTGAAAATTTGCAATTGAAAGGCAGAAATAAAAAAACAAAATTAACAGGAAACTAGCCTAGTACTAGAGGTCTGTACTGACCTCTGTACCCTAGTTCTTGTATGCATAAGTAAACAAATCTTTAAAAAAAAAAGAATGATATAAAATATATATAAATTTTATATATATTTTGCGAAATATATATAATATATTTATTTTGCGAAATATATATAATATATATAAAAATTTATATATATATGCGAAAAGCCTGGGGAAGCCTTGGCACCCCAAATTCTACCTGTTCCACATTCAGTAGAGATTTGCAGTGACTTTGCCTGTAGAGATGCCTCAACATGAGTTGTGAGTTTCCCTCCTCAACGAACCTCCTCAATATGCTTTATAAAATCACAAAGTGTCTCAATGCAGAAAAAAGAAATCTACAGTCACCAGAGAATTATAAAGAGGCATTTCAAATTTGAGCCCCACAAAGTTATCCTTTAAGACCTTCACCAAAAATTATTCCTTTATTTGAAACTTGTCTCAAGCCACTCTTTCTCAATATCCTTGGTTTTATTAAAAGAATTAGAGCTTATTAAGACAGTAGGAATAATCAGCTTTTCACAAACACACCCTGAGGATTTGAGAGAACAACCATCCTAACATCCCTGTTAATGTTTATTCATAGTTTATGGTAATTTTATAAACTGAATATTCCACACAGTAAGAAAATATTCTTTACCCTATCAAAACTATAATCCCTGATGGTTTCACACACAAAAAGAGAATCAGTTTCTCTTCATGAAAACTTGAACATATAATTTCTCTTTCAGATGCAGTAAATAATCATGATTGTTAAAGTCCTCATTTCAACTCTTCCTTTAAATATATAACAAGATATAATAATAAATCTTTCCATTAAATGGTGGGGATTTTACTTAAAGGGATTAGATTTTGGAAATATGGAATATTTTAACTGGGTTTTCCAAGCAGAATTGGCGTCTTAACATTGCAAGCTATGGAATATTTTAACTGGGTTTTCCAAGCAGAATTGGCGTCTTAACATTGCAAGCACCCCCTTTTCGTTCAACAGCTCTTCAAGTCAGCAACCCCCGAGGGCTGGAGACCCACAGGACACGGCTGACCCTGCAAGGCACAGAGGTCAGGAGAGTAAGGAACTCCACAGAGTGCCAGCCAGAATGCCAGCCAGCAGTGCTTTCAGGTCCCAAGGGAAAAATCCAGTCTTTCCTCCTCCCAAACTTCCACTGTTCTCACTATTCAATTGTCCTTCTCTCTGGCATTTTGGAATTCTTTGGAATGGAGGACATTCAGTCTTCTTGAATAACAGTAAGAAACTGCATTTCTATTGCCCACCCTCCCTCCAAATACCCGAAGGAAAAGTGAAGACTTGGACTCATTTCCCGGTAGCACACATAAGGACTTGATCTTCAAAATACTCATGGTCAGAAGAATGCTTCAGATGGAACCCACACCGGGTCATTAAAATTCCTCTTCCCTATAATCCAACAGAAGCAAAGAGAAAACCTGCTACAAGGAAAGGGGGAGGGATTAATTACCCAAAGGACAAAATTAGGAACTGCGAACAGGTATCCCTGTCCTCTATAGGAAGAATCTGACTTATAACCACTCATTCATTCATTTTTCCATCATTTTATGCACTAGACGCTTGACATCTACTCTATGCTTGGCACCGGGCATAGGAAGGCAGGAGACAGGTGCATCTGCAAAGAGTTCACAGTCCAAGGATGGTCGGACGAGAAAGCAAATGACAGCACATGTGCTGTGCCCGAGAGCAGACAGTGGCAGGCCCCAGTTAGGGGTGACTATTGCAGCCTGGAAAGGAGGCAACTCCTGAGCTGGGGTTTGAGACAGAACAAAACTTCATTAGGTGAAGAAGTGAGGGACTAGGGTCCCCTTGGGGCAGAGGGAGGGGTGCCTCCAAAGACACCAGGGCCTGAGATGGGTTGCAGGTGGGAGGTACATCTAGCAGGCCAGCAGGGCAAGGACTGCAGCTCTGGGCCCATCTGGGTCCTGCCACCTTGGACTGTGTAAATCACAACCCTTGCTGCACATGCACCTCTTACCAGAAGCTTAAAAAATAAAAACAAAGGCTTGGCTCCCCCTCCAAACAAATTATATCAGGGTCTCTAGAGGTGGGCCCAGACATCAGTAGTTCAGAAAGAATCCCAATGGATTCCAGTGTGGTACAGGCTGCAGGCTTTATTGTCAAAAGTTCATTTTTAATAAACTCAGTTCCTTGGGTTGTTGTGCAGGTTAAGCGGACTAATCAATGAGCAGCACCTAGGGAGTGTTAATAAGGATGACGACAATTGCAAGAAGAGTCAGAGATGCAAATGAGACCAGAAGTTAGGCCAGAGGCAAATCATCATCCCAGCATGATCTCACCCCCTGCTCCCCCATGTCCAGCACCATCCTGAGAGCTTCACACAACACAGCAGCGTGGCTCGGGGAAGCAGCCTCTTCCACCCCAAGTCTCTACTGCAGGAGGCTGGGTGACCTGGATTCAGAGACGAAGGCTGCCAGGAATATTCTGTGGGCACTGGGAAGACACATCATCGAGGAGTAATGTGATCAGCATTGTGGGAGATAAAGGCATCTGACAGTAAGGAAGACAACAGGCTGAAAGGGAAATGATGCCCCTCTGCAGACAGAGCCAGAGATTGGATGGATATGTGGAAGGAGAAACATATCTCTTGGAAGCCCAGGACCAGAAAGAAAAAGAATCACAACTGGCGAGGAGACTCTCCACACTAATTTCAAGATTTCTGTAAGACATAAATGTGTTCTGATACACAAATACCTTCCATTTCTACGACATATACCACTTACCATCTGGTGTGGTGTCAGCTCTCAACGTTGATGTCATTTGAAGCAATTTTCATCATGTCTCTGGAAAGCTCTCGTCTATCCTCTTTTGAGAATTTCATCTATTCAACAGAGGTTTTTTTTTCTTTCTTAATGCTCTGGTGTTGCCATCCTCTGTTGAGAGTTTGATTTAAATGATCTCCTGCCCGGCACGGTTTCTTTAACAGACAATAGAGATTTAAATTGTATTTTTCCAGTGCTGATTATTAACATTACTGTTGTTGGACTCTGAGCACATGCTTTTAGGCTACAGGGTGGAGGCTATTATTCCCTCTTTACAGACGATGGCTTAGCTGATTCCCCTTTAAAGAGGTCATGATTATAAGGAGAATAAACCATTCAAGCACCAATTATTTGCATGCATCTCTAGCGCTTCAAAATTATTATTTAGCTCTAGAAAACAAACACATGACAAGTTAGTATTTTCTATTCATTAAATTCATTGTCCTATTTATTAGGTAAAATAGCTATTTATTTATTCCTAGGGGGGAAAAATGGCTATTTTGCTTTAAATTGTTCCTAGTACTTAGAAATGCCAATATTTTGAAATATGAATGTGCTTAGAAATACACTAAGTATAAAATTTGGCATTTTCCCACTGTTTTTATTGTGTTAAAAATATGCAAGATAAAATTGACCATCTTAACCAATTTTAAGTGTGCTCAGTGGCGCATGTACATTCCTCATGTTGTACAGACTTCATCACCTTGACTCCATCCTTCTTGTAAAATTGAAAGACCATGCCTGCTAAACAACAGCTCTCCATCCCCCTCCAGTTACAGCCGTGATTCTACTTTCTGTCTCTGTGACTTTGACAACCCTAGGAATCATAGTGCTTGTCTTTCTGGGACTGGCTTATTACACTTGACATAATGTCCTCAAGCTTCATTCATGTTATAGGGTGAGACAGGATTTCTTCCTTTTGAAGACTGAATAATATTCCATTGTGTGTATATACGAACGTTTGCATTCTAGTAAGTCAAAAGTAGACAAACATTGGCAATCTCATAGGATTCAATCGAATACATTATCATATTAGGATAATACCATTCAGGATTTTCAGTGATTTAGAAGAACCTCTTTCTCTCTTTCCTGCAAGTGGCAGGTACTGTCAGGTGAAACAAGCTGGATACTGGCATCATCATCTGAGCCCCTGCTCATGGGGGGTAGGGTCAGGGTGCATCCTATTTTAGGGTAGAGGAGAGGCAGGGTCAGCCTGCATGCTCCCAGTTTGGGTTCCTGAACTGATTGGATTTTGTGTGTCTTTGTATCCTCCAAAGGAATGGTCTCCATCCTTGGCCCTTACCACTGCCCCTGGAGACTGGCCTGCATCTCTCACCCATTGCCCTCCAGGTCCTTAATGAGCGTGTCTTATTCATAGAAGTTTCCCACTAATGAAACTATTATTGTTAACACTGCCAGGACAAGTTGTGTAGATAAATGCTTAAAAATAGATCAGAGTAATAATTCTGCAACAGAACTGTTATTTCTATACCAAGTCTACTTTCCAGCAAGTAAGAGAAATACTTTTAACTTCTAAGTCACAAGGGTATAAAAATGTTTAGTGTGAAGTAAAGCACTCTCTAAAGACAAGTGGCCATTATTTCTATTGTGTCCATGACAACAGAACAGAATGATGTTGAGTCTACCTTTCCGACTATGGTCAAGGGTCAGGAGGAATACACAACAGATAGACAGCATAAGTGAGCATCACTGGGATACACGAGCACAGGAATCCAGCCCATGGAGGTATCACAAAGTTATCAGAAAGATGAGAAGGATCTACATTCTCCAACATATCAAGACCATGCATACACACATCTATGTATATTATTTATGTGTTTGTCTCTAAGATCTTAGAAGCTAAATAAGTAAATACTTGAAAGTGGTTCCCTATGGGGAGAAAATAGAGAAGGAAGAGGAGAAGAAAGAAATGCATATGTGTCTCTTCAACAAACAATGTATAAGAGAAAAAAAGAGGGGTGGAACCATGGATTAGAATAGACAGGAGGCTAATCAATTTATTGTGATATTGGACCTTACTAGACTCTGATTTGAACAAAATTTTAATGAGACAATGGGGAATCTACATAGTGGACATTTGCTATCAAGCAACTGTATTTAATTTGGGGAAATATGATAATGGATTGCAGTTGTTTATCAAAACCCTTATTTTTTAAAAAAAAAGACATTGAAATACTTGCATATGAAATGGTATTTGCTACCAAAATAATCCAGTGGCAGGGACTGATAAAACAAGGTGACCTGATCGTTACTGTGGCTGAGGGATGCCACACTTTACAGTTCATGACATTACTTTCCTACATTTATGTATTTTGAAATGTCCTATAATAAAATATTACAAAAAGCTTACCAACTTCCTAGTCTGTGCTTGTCACCTCCATCATTGTGTGATTTGGGCCCAGCTATTTAATCTTCTACAATTCTGCCCCTTTTTCTATGAAATGGAAATAATGTGACTCCATCCAGTATAAATTTCCAATAAGTTTAGAGCCCATTGTGCCCTACCCACAGAGAAGTAGCTATTTTATAGCTGTGTGTCATCACTTTTTAAAGATGCTGGAAGAAACTCAAACATAACATGTCTGGAATTGAATCCACCAAACTGGTTGAGGGCAAGAATGAATGAATGAATGAATGCAAGCATCCAGGTTATCATTCTGGCATATGTCGCAAAGGTTTCCTCATGTTGGGCTTTCGTGACAGCTGTCAGGAACGACCCATCTCTCTAACCTCAGTTGCTCAAAGGCATCATGAACTGGATCATCTTCAGCTTAAGCATCCCATCCCAGTCAGTGTCCACAGGGGCCTCTCAATGGGAGCTTTGCAAAATACATGCTTCTCATCACAATCATTTTCTCCATCTGAGAAGGGTTCTGTTTTCTAGATCTCTGGTCCTTGGCAAGCAGTGAAATTCCAAATTCTACAGAACCCCAACAACAAAGGATTCAGACTTTATAATGCCTTCAGTGTTACTTTTGATCAGTCACACCCAAGGCTGCAGTGACTAACTACATCAAACCCATCTTCAGAAGATCCATATTAGATGTGTAATGATATCAGAAACCCCCCACCCCCGAGAAAAGCTAACTATTCGGGGGTCACAGCACAACCAAAAGCAGAGAAAAGACATCATCCCAAGAGACGGCTTTGTAGCACATGTGTTTGAAATCTGAGCAACTTAACAGGAGCCTTCTAAGTGATATCCTCACGTCAAAATACGGTCTCCTGATGAACTCACACTAGTAACAATTCCTCCATCGATGTTCAGTAATAGGTCCTTTTCCATGTCCTCAGGAATAAATAGCATGCTTCTTGTATACACAATTTGGAAAATATGTTTCAGATCCATTTGTTCCTTGGCCAGTGAATTTATTTATATCCAGCTAGAAACAGACACGGTAATTTTGCCGCACCATTAACTCACTGAGGAGCATAAAGGCTCTGTCTTTTCATATTGCCCTTTTGGTCCCCTCCTGTGTGTGTATCAAACAGTTCACATCTTGCATTTATTCAGCACTCAGCTTCTCCGAGGCAAGTGCTAAGTAAACCATTAGAATTACAGGATCATCATGCCTGAGAGCCAAAAGCACACTAGAAATCTAGTTCGTTGCTGTGGTTTTGCTTGTGAAAAGTGGGATGCAGAGAGCTTGAGGGTCTTGCCCAGACCAGAAAAAGCTGCTCAGTGGTAAAACAGGTTAGAATCAAGATTTAAAGATTCTTAGTTCAAGGCTGTTTGCCCCAGGCGATGCGAGTTCAATATCCTTGGACTTCCACCTACTGAAAACAAATTCTTCACTGGTCTTTAGAAAGCAGTGCCTTTTTCCAGACCACTCAGGTGCCAAATAATGATTTATGAGACTGCATTAAGCACGCAGGGAGTTTTCAAAGACCATTCCACCCCTCCACTACATGTAGGGAAAGCTCACCTAGGGTCTAGATATCCCCAGAGGATCTTTTGTTCTTGCTCATCCCTATAAAACCTGGACCACTCAGAGAAGACAGGTACAGCAAGAAGCCTCGTGTGCCAGACCAACCCAGACAATGTGCTGGTGCGCCTGTGGACACAGATTCTAAAGCTGCAGGCACAGAAGCTAATACTTGAAAGCACACGCTTCATTTCTTCATTCATTTATCATTTCCACATGCAAGTGGATTTGAGGCACTTCAGTAGGGGCCCAGTGTGTCTAGTCCCTTGATTGAAATGAAGCTCTCTGCTGTTGGCCACTAGTAAGAGTCATCAGTTGGCGATCAGAAATCAATGCATTTATAGTTAAATAGAGTAACTTCCTCCCACCCTCTCCCTGCCGACCTACCCTCAGTTTCTCTTGCCAGTCAAACACCCAGCCATCCACCAATGCCCTAGCTTGGCACTCACTTCTGCCTTTCACTTCTCGCTCACCCTCCTCACACCAATGCTGCACTGATGATCCACAGAAAATGTGCCCTGATTCCTTCTACATTTGTGACACCACCCTCCACTCCCCATCAGCCCCTTCCAAGAGGACCCAGAATTGCCCAGTGATGCTGTGGAAGTGAGCAGAAGTGGCTCCCTCCAGCCCCAGCAGTGGCCACCAGCTGGCAGAAACAGCGAGCACAGCCCATTCTTTCTGGCAGCAACAATCCTTGAATTGCTGAGCAAAAGATACAGTTTAGGTCAACGAAATGTGCAGCGAAGTCTGATGAAAGCGCCAGGAAAGGGGCAGCCTCCTCTTCCAGGGAAGCTTCTGCTACAAACACTTTGTCTCCCACTGGTTACGGCTGCTGGGCATTTACAGTCACCCGGGCAGCCATCTAGAGCCAACCCAACTGGAGGACATGAGAAATAGGAAAAGGAGGCAGGTCTCCAGTGACTGTGCTGATGGATCAAGCTTTGCCTGGAGACTGCTTACCTCTGCACTCTTCACTTACGTGTACAGCAAACTTCTATCTCTTTTTATAAATTGGTTTGGGTTGGATTTTCTGTTCCTCTTAACCAGACGTAATCCTGAAACAAACCCAGTCCCTTCTCCTCAGCTACACTAATAGTTCAGGCTCTCTTCCTCCCTCGTGGAATTAAAATAACAGGAACTCAGCTACTCTACCTGCCCCTGGAATGGCTGCTCTTTCAATAGCTAGGCATAGAGCATGCAGGGTGATGTCAAGTTACGATGTCAGGTTATTCAACCAGGTATCAGGGACTGATTTGAGCATTTTATGTGAATGATCACATATGATCCTCACAAGAACTCTATGAAGTAGGTACTATTATTGTCCCTTATATAGATAAGGAAAATAAGGTTGTGAGACATAAAGAATTGTGTCCAACATCACATTATCACGCAGTGGGGAGCCTGGCTTGAAATTCAAGCCTATTTAATTCCTCTGCCCTTAATCTTTTCCTGGTACCTACGAAAGACAGCGTAAACTCCTTATGTGGCCTCACAACCCCTTTCCAGTTCCCTCCCACCACGGCATTCCTCCAGGATCCTAAGGTCCATCCAAAACAGACACCTCACTGCTCCCCAACAGGCCCCAAAGTCTACTGCTGGCAGTGCCAATCTCTCTTTTTTTAAATTTTATTTTATATATTTTTTACATCATTTTTGCACAATGCATGCATTTTCGTCTTTGTTATAGTCCCCCTACAATCCCCACCCCCCCTTGTTTTGATCCTACTCCCTTCACCCTGTAGTGAGTCTCTGGCTTGTAGTTGCTTGTTGATTTTGATTTTTACTTTATTATAATTAGTCTTTTTCCTGGCCCCTTATTTAGGTTTTCTAAATTCCTGCTATGAGTGAGACCAGTGCTCATCTCTGCCTGGAACGTCCCCTCCCCAACTCATCCTCTCTCTGCAAAATCCCCTTCATGGACAGAGACCAGATCAATTATCAAGCCTGGTCCATCGCTCATTCCAGAAGCCCTGAGACTCTGGTCCTAAGTAGGGCCCGACAGGCCGCAGGAGCAGAAGCCTTCTCCAGCTAGCTTAGGTGAAGGAAATGTGTCCCTAGAGACAGTCTTGCCAGCTTCTAAGCACAGGAAATAAAGGACAGCCAGGCCACAAGAGGACCCAAGCCTCCCAGTAGGGACTCGAGTCTCCTGGCTCCCCAAGTCACCTGCACTCCCAGATCTCCCCTCTTCCCCCCATTCACCTGCTCCCCTCCACAGACTGGCACTCTCAGCAATGCTCTCCTGTCTGCGCACATTGCTCTCCCCCACCTCCAGGCTTTCTGTGATGTCCACTTTGACTCCCATTCTCTCCTGCACACCAATGTCCAGCACCCCTCACCCTGACCATGACTGTCACATTCCCAGGGAGCCCCATTTTCTCAGCCCACCAATATCGCCTTCTGGGTCAAGTGTGCCCTGATCCGCTCACCTGTGACTACGGGGCGGTGTCCTATGATAGCCGGTCTACCTTTCAACAGGGGCTGTGGCCACCTGCCCGTGTGCCCTCGCCCACCTCGCCCGTGCACACCAGCCCAGTGGTCTCCTGCAGCCAGCGCCCTCCAGCTGGGGAGGGAAGGTCAGGAGCACTAGAGGGTTGATGACAACCTCAGCCAATGAGTGATGGAAGATATTCCAGTTCTAGGGCTCTGATGGAGTAATGATGTGGGGTGCTCCTCACAGAGTCCCCAAATTGCCCCACAGAATCAAGCCCTGGCTGAGCCCTGGTTGCCCACAGCATTACCCTGCTAATAACATGCCCTCCCTTGGCTGCCTTCCAGGCGGCTCCTTCCACTCCCTACTAGGCTCCCTGGATAAGCCCCTGTACTCATACCATTGCCTCAAAACCCATTTCTGGGGGACCCTGAGGTGGTGTGGCATATTCTCTCAGAAAAATGTGCTGGCAGGATGGAAAATCTGACCAGTCTAAGCTCCGCTTTCACAGCATTCTACTCTACATGTACTGCTCGCAGGTTCCATACACCTGTCTCTCCAAACAGAGCACAGCTCCTGAAGGGGAGGTTATATTTTGTCTTATCTTCGAGACCCCAGGGTTCCAGAGTAGGGCTTCACACACAGCAGGCCTTCCATTGTCTGGTGGCCAGGAAAGTGGATTAAAGTAGCCAGGTGGACTATAGCACACCAGATAATTCCACACTCAGGGAATCCCTTCACCTGACAGCTACCTAAAGATTCCCCAGCAAACCACTTATCTTTAAATACTGATTACACATATTTCTTTTTTTTTTTTTTTAAAGATTTATTTATTTATTTATACATGCACTGGGTACAGTCAGAGGTGCGGGAGGGTGAGAGAATTCACCAGAGCCAGAGCGGAGAGTAGAACAGGCAGAATGACGAAGTACACTGCTGAGGGGAGCAGCGGGCGGCAGGAGAGGTCTGCGCACCATGTGGGACCCTCACCCAGTGGCCGGTGATCGAACCGGCGCTGCAGAGGCTGCAGGCAGTTTCGCAATCCAGTGCTCAACCGCTGCGCCACCGGGGAGGCCCTGATTACACATATTTCATCTGCAAGGAATATCTTGACT